GAGAGAGAGAGAGAGAGAGAGAGAGAGAGAGAGAGAGAGAGAGAGAGAGAGAGAGAGAGAGGGGATTTTTGTGGCGGGGAGATGGTAGATTACTTGGAGAGGCAAGTGCATCCGCCGCCTGAACTGCAGCAGCATTCGTCGATACGCGGCAGAACGAGTGGGAGCGGGAGCGGTGATAGCCATCGCACCTCCGTCTCTCTTGCAGCCGGTTATGGTGTCATCATGGGGAACAATGATGGCGGCGGTTTCCCACCCCAACCTGCGACCCTGCACAGAGGAGAGAGTGAGGAGGTGATTCGGTCCTTCATCAACCCTCTTCCTCAAGGTGACTTCAACTGGTTACTAGAATCCCCAAGGCCGGTGGTGGTGGTGGGTACTAGGAGCGTGGCAGGGACAGGAGCGGTGGGAGTAGTAGTCGGTGGAGGGGAGGGCGGCGGGGAGGGAGGAGGCGCTTCTTGTGTGTCCGGTTCGGCGGCGGAAGGGGGGGGATCCAGCAGCAGAGGTACAGTAACCCAAGCTTCAGGAGCGGCAACGTCTTCGTGTTCGGGTGCCATAGCTGCGCTAACGGACGACGATGACGGCTCCTTTCTTCAGGAGGGGAGCAGGTTCTCTTCGGGCCAGGATGTTGTGAGTAGCCACGTGTCATCGCCGGGTGAAACTTCGCTGAACGATCATGGAGAAGAGGTGCTCAGCCTGTTAAGAAGAGTGGGGATGGGAGATGATGACGAATCAGGTGATGAGGAGGCATCTACCCGGTCACCATGTCCAGATACCGAGCGACAGGTCAGACAGCTGTCAACGGAGCTGGCGACCACGTCATTCTTTGATGACCGGCGGCCAATCGTGGATGGGTTCTTCGCGATCGACGTACCAGATGCAGACGGAGAGGGGGGAGGCGGCGAAAATGGAGGGGGGGGAGGAGGAGGAGGAGGAGGAGGAGGAGGGGAACGACGGAGCTTCGGCGTTAATCGAGGAGGGGATTGGCGGGGCTTCGGTCGGGATGCGTTCGGACATTTCAAGCGCTTCACGATAAGCGCTAGAGCAAGCGACGGCCGGGTGGGGGGGAGCTTCGGCGGAGGAAATGAAGTGGGAGTTAATGGGGAAGAGCGGAGGACGAATTCGTATGGAGGAGGAGGTGTAGGAGGAGCAGGTGGAGGGGGCACAAGTGTAGGAGGAGGAGGAGGAGGAGGAGGGGGAGGAGGAATGGGCGGGAGTTCCACTCCGTTATCTTCCCTTGGATTTCAGACCAATGCTTATGTGGGCAGTGGGAGTTGCCCTAGCTTCACAGAGACCGATGGCAGGCAGGCGGCGTTCTGTTCACTTGCTTCGTCTGTTTCCAGGGGAGTGCGCATGGGAGGAGGAGGGGGAGGGGGAGGAGAAAATGAGACGGATAGGGGTGGAGGTGTTTCGAGAGGAGAGGGAGGTGGTTTCCTATTAGCTTGCTCTCCTCCTGTCGGGTCTCCTCTTACCTCCTGTCTCCCATCTTCCCCGTCCTTGCCGGGCGCAGGCTTGGTGACGGGATCTCCTTCTATTTCTTCAGGATTGGGATACTCGGTCCCGACGGATCCGGTACATAGTGCGGTGAACGCGTTAAAGCGAAGTCTGCAGGAGAGGAAGGGGAGATTAGGAGGCGGAGGTGGTAGTGGTGGTGGTAGCAGTTTAGGTGGGGGGGGAGGGGGAGGAGGAGGAGGAGGAGGAGGGATCGCTGCTGGGTTAGGAGGAGCAGGAGGAGGAGGAGGAGGAGGATTGGGCAGCGACTCGCGAGGGGGTTCAATCAACTCAGGCGGTTTTGGCGGGAACGTGATGGTGGGCACGAGATTGGGAGAGACCCAGTCGTCGACGTTTTCGAGAGAGAATTTGGGAGAGAGAGATGGTTCAGCTGCCGCTACAACATCAACAGCATCAGCAGGCGGTGTCGCTGTTGCTTCTCCTTGTTCAGATGGCAGTTCCCCGGCCATGGATGGCTTTCATCTTCCTCCTCACCCCACCACCTTCGCCTGCTATGGCTCCTCTTCCATGCCTCCCCCTTCTTCCGGCTTGTCGTACGGATGGTCAACGTCTTCGTCCTTCACTGAACAACTTATGTCGGGATCGGTGGTCGGGATGACAGGTTCTCACTACTTAGGTGGTGGAGATTCGGCGGGAGACGGCGGCGGCGGCGGCGGCGGCGGCGGCGCTGGCGGAGGACAAGGGGGGGGAGCGCAGTCGGGAGGCGGCGGTGGCGGCGCAAATGATTTCTTCCCTCCGCCGTTGACCACCGAAGTCTCGCTGGACATTTATCAGGTCGCGACCGGGATAGAGCCGTCGGGATCCTCGCTGATGGCCTTGAAGAGGGAGCTGTCGAAAGGGATGGCGTACGAGCAACCCCCAACGAAGAGGGTGTTCGGACTGACCCACGTGGCCTCCTGTCCGTCATCCCCTTCCCCGCCCATGCATATGGACGGTGGTGTACCTGTGTCGGGATCGGGATCGTTCGAAGGCCTTTCTCTCTCCAAGTCTTACGATTTCACAGCGGTACGAGGCGTGGGAGGAGGAGGAGGAGGAGGAGGAGAATTGGCGGGAAACCCAGCTAGAAGGAGCGGGGCCGCCGCCCTGGATGCGGGGATTCACGCAGCAGGGGGAGGCGGCGGCGGCGGCGGCGGCGGAGGAGGAGGAGGAGGAGGAGGAGGAGGAGGAGGAGGATATCTCCCGCGTCATCATCGTTCTCCCTCTCCGCCAGGGACCGTAGCAGGTCCTCTCTCGTCAGCAGCAGGAGGAGGGGGAGGAGGAGGGGGAGGGGGAGGGGGGGGCGGGTTTAGGAGTGTTGTTGTCAATGGTGGCGGCGGGATTGGGATTACCTCCACCACCTCCTCCTCTCTTTCTCCCCCTCTCGCGTCGGCTTCATCTTTGGCTTCGGCTTCGAGGACGGCGAACACCGTCGGCTCCGCTGCGGCGCATGCCACTCTGGTGCAGTCTGCGCAGCAGCACCTCTCCTCCTCCCCCCTCCCCCTTCCTAATTCCGTGTGTGATAATTCTATGAGAGCTCCTCCCACTTCTGCTCTCTCCTCGATGACCGCGATCCCGACCTCCGCGGTCGGGGATGACCTGGGGTTGTCGAAAAGACATCATAGATTGGAGAGGAGATGGAAGATGACCGGCAAGAGTGGCAAGGACAGAAGCCTTTATCCGTCCTCCTCGTCCTTGTCGGCATTGTCGCATGATATACCGACTCTTCTCAAGAAGTATGAGGAGTTGGAACGGGACAACCGCGGCTTGAAGCTGCAGAATTCGTTCATGAACAGACAGGACTCAGAACATAAGATCAAGATTGAGGAGCTGGAGCAAGAAATTCACAAGCTGAAAGCCGTAATACGGAGGCTAGAAGACCAATTAAGGAATCAGAAGGTTGTTGTAAATGGGTGAGCGGTGTACTCGAATCGTGATTGTCATTTGATTGGGTTGTTTGATTAGACGGCGGGGATTGACTTCTGACACGTGTCACGTGTTGATTGATGTGTAAATTGATGAGTTGATTGATGAGGGGGTTAGTTGACGAGTGTGGATTGATGGAGGATACATTGGTAAAGACAGTGTTGGAGATGAGAGGGGGGAGAGAGGGGGGAGCGGGGGGCGAGCGGGGGGTGGGGGGCTTGAGGAGAGAAGAAGAGAGACGGGGGGGCAGAGGGAAAGAAAGAAGTTGGGGGGCGGGTGATTAAAGCACCAAGAAAGAGCTGATTGATGGGTTATTATATTCATCCATCATTACCTGGCAAGAAGGGATTGATGGGGTGTTATTATTATATTAATCCATCATCATCAAAGTGGGAGGGCCTGCTTGCTGCTTGTTTCCCCAAGTAGTGACACTATGGTATGCCTTGATTTTTTTGCTTAATTGGTGGATTGCCCCAGGCCATCAATCTTGCTTAATTGGTGGATTGCCCCAGGTCATCAATTTTGCTTAATTGGTGGATTGATAGGAAACGTAAGAGTACCTATCTAGCCTGGTCTCGTTAGGCGCGGCAGGTCAGGTGCGGTTGTAGTGGTTGGCTTGACATCGACGATGGGATGATAGATGATCGACGACGGGTTTATACACCGCCTTCTCCTTATTCTCCTACCCACCTACCTACCTTCTCCCCCCCCCCCCCCCCCCCCCCCCCCCCCCCCCCCCCCCCCCCCCCCGCGAGTACAACGCACCGTCCTCATTAAACCCTGTACGGCACCGAAAAAGAGGGCTTATATAGACATTAGTTATCAGGGTATTAGGGTGCGTTATGTTCGGGGGAAGACGGTTGTGATGACTTAATTTCTTCCCACCCCCCACCCCCCCACCTCTTGAGATTCGCCTTTGGGGGGTTGCTAGGGATCAATTCGGCACCTAATCCCCCAGAGGTCTCTTTAGCCTTGGCAGACAGGTGCGGAGGGAGTGGGGGAAAATGCCAGCAAGGGGGAGGAGACGCATGGAGAAAGAAGAGAAGTAGGTGGGTAGTAGAAGAATAAGGAAATGATAGGCGATGGCGGTAGATGGGCGATGATTGGGAGGAATTTTTTGAATGGAATTTTTTGAGAGGAATTTTTTGAGAGGAATTTTTTGAGAGGAATTGAGTCGATGGTGGGAGAAGAATGGGGGGGAGTGGAGTGGTGGTAAGGGAGGGGAGGAAGTGCAAGGATGCACGTTTTACAGGGGAGGGGTTG